ACCCTAACCCTAACCCTAACCCTAACCCTAACCCTAACCCTAACCCTAACCCTAACCCTAACCCTAACCCTAACCCTAACCCTAACCCTAACCCTAACCCTAACCCTAACCCTAACCCTAACCCTAACCCTAACCCTAACCCTAACCCTAACCCTAACCCTAACCCTAACCCTAACCCTAACCCTAACCCTAACCCTAACCCTAACCCTAACCCTAACCCTAACCCTAACCCTAACCCTAACCCTAACCCTAACCCTAACCCTAACCCTAACCCTAACCCTAACCCTAACCCTAACCCTAACCCTAACCCTAACCCTAACCCTAACCCTAACCCTAACCCTAACCCTAACCCTAACCCTAACCCTAACCCTAACCCTAACCCTAACCCTAACCCTAACCCTAACCCTAACCCTAACCCTAACCCTAACCCTAACCCTAACCCTAACCCTAACCCTAACCCTAACCCTAACCCTAACCCTAACCCTAACCCTAACCCTAACCCTAACCCTAACCCTAACCCTAACCCTAACCCTAACCCTAACCCTAACCCTAACCCTAACCCGCACACGCGCTCAACCATACAAATTGTCGCCATGGCAGATGGTCGCGCCCTACGCTCCGGTAAAACATCCAGCAGTCATGCACATAACGAAAAACATTGTCAAACACACCGCGCAATGGCAATAAGTCCATAATAAGAAGATGCGGCCTTTCACAGCAGCTGTGCCTCACCGTGTGCGTAAACTGCAAGACGGCCTCAACAAACGCACACGCCGCCACTGCTTCCACTTCAGTCCCACGGCCAACGGGATACGGCCACAGCCCGCTGCCGGCACACAACGCACACGGAGCTAGCAATCACCCAAAGAGACACACGCGGAAACGGATCCTCATCCACCTAGAGCGCGCTGTTTCCACAATAGAACTTGTCCGTTTTTCATCACTTGAAGAAGCTTCTTTTTAATGATCGGCCCCATAAAATTAAAAATGAAAATGGAAAATGGAAAATGTAGGAAAACTGCGAAAGCAACGGTTACAATAATTCTCCCACAATAGAGCAATTCTCCGTTTATATCTTTTATAAAAACGCAATTATTAAAGCCCATAAAAGTCCCTTAATGTTTTTGAGCAAAAAACAAGCTTCCCTCATCATTCCCCATACTGTTTTTTTTTTTTTTTTTTTTTTGTTATGGTATTGTCGATAGCGTTGGTCATCTCTGAAATCTGTGCGATATACTGTCGCCTGGCGCTGGTGCACCTGCACTGTATGCACGCACAATTATCCAAAAATATATAAATCCCACAATTTTTTTTTTTACCAGAAATCAAAAACTACCCCTTTCATTCCCTAATTCGTTCTCCTATTTCGTTTTTCCTCACCCCCGGAGAGCTTTCTTTCTTCTGGCGTCAGCGGATGATACTGCTGCTCGGTACTGATGCACCTTTTCCTTCCAGAACGCCGCAATCCTTTTTTCATCGTCGCTCAAATTATCGGAATTGACAAGATCACATCTCTGCCAGCCAGTTAGCGGCTTGTTGTCTTTGTGCTGCACATAAATAATCTCCCACGACATTTCTCGGGACAATTCCTCCCAATCATTAAAATATGCCGCCAGATACTCCGTGAACTGCCTCACAGTGCTGGTTTTGGTGTGATGCTCACCCGCCGTAGTGATCTGCAGCCCAACCAGCGTCATTGGATTTGAGTCCACAAAGAAAAAGCCGTTTACCAACGGAAAGTTTTTGACCTTCGGTTGATACAGCACACTGTACTCTATGGCGATCCGATTAGAAGGGTTGTCTGGTACTTGTAAAAACTCTTTCCTGGTGAAGCTTTCGTACGAATACTTTACCAGCGCACAGCTGTGTGACCTAGGTCGTCCCCTTGGCTTCAGTTCCTCAATTTTAAGTCTTATCGCACGTAGGAACTCCTCATTCAAAAATGCGGATACGGCATACTTTTCAATAAGATATGGTAAGATATAATCCCAAATACTCAACAAGAGAAAAATAAAATCCGTCTGCTTCATTTCTCTTTTCATCTTGGCCAATGTTTTACGTTCGAGGTAGGGGGATATCAGTACATTCAAAGGCGATTCAATGTTGTCTTCTTGTCGTACTCGGACAACCTTCACAAGCTTGTGAGACACATGATTGCCGTCATACAAGTTGTCAGTTCCAATACCAGCGTCATACTGTAGCATCGAAGGAGTGATATTATTCACGGCATCTTCACACGCGATAAAGCGAGCCTCAGACTTTTTTTCATTAAAGATGAAGCGGAGAATCGGCCCCACTTTATTCATGCGATCTTTCACCTTTTTCCAGTAGTCCTCTTCTTCCTCCGCTTCTTCCTCCTCTTCTTCCTCTGTTTCTTCCTCTGTTTCTTCCTCTGTTTCTTCCTCTGTTTCTTCCTCTGTTTCTTCCTCCGCTTCTTCCTCCGCTTCTTCCTCCGCTTCTCCCTCCGCTTCTTCCTCCGCTTCTTCCTTCGCTTCTTCCTCCTCAAGCTGCCCATTGTGCTTCTTCCACATGCACATTGCCTTCACATCGTTTTCTTCGGGGCAATTAATTATGATTTGTACGGCTCCCATTTGCATTGCCCACGATTCGTAGTTGTTTTTGTCTGGTGGTGTCACCACAATCATGCCCCATCCCTTGCAAGGCAAACTAGTAGACGGTTCATGACCCCTCATTGCCACGTCGTAGATAATATACCCTTTCACCCCACGCCGAGAGAAACTGCCCAAAATACTCAGAATACTGGCCTCACTCGTGTACAGTGACACCGTTTTGGCGGTCTTGTCAAACAGAAATGTTCGATCCGCAATAAAGTACGCAACCATTTGGAGTTTCTCCGCATCGTAGTGCAGCAGCTGGTAGAGGAGGTACGAACCGGCATTCATCGACTTCCCGATCCCGGGCGTCCCAATCAACACACACGGATGAGGCGAAGGTTTGATCTTACCGCAAGTGCTGAACCACTTGGTTAGATCGCGCTTGACTATCTGCCACACTCGCTCCACCTCACAGTTCAAATAGCAGTCATGAATAAATTCACCCACCCCCCGTTCCCACGAGTACGGCCATTCCTTGTCCGAGGTGAGCACCATCAGCCTGAGACGCTCTGCACCGGATTGCTGCACACCGTCATCCTTTTCGAGGGATCCGCCAACTGCCCTGTAAGTCCATGACTGCGGTGGTTTCCCCTCCTTCACCTCCATTCCCGTCCCCTCGCCGTCAGTAACTTCCACGACATGGCTCCACCTCGCATTGTACACAGACTCGTAGAATCCCTCCAGCACGTACATCCTTCAGCCACCTTCGTTGAATTCCGCGCCTGAGAGAAGACTATTTATTATTCTCTTCCGCGTGAGAATCGATTATATACCTGTTTTCGTAGTTGGATTGAGTTAAAGCCAAACACTGAACACTAATCAAAAAAAGGAATAAGAGTAAGAGACAATAGGCACAGGCATGACTGACAGCCTCAGCACGAGAGTCATCCACACGGTGTGGGATGCACACCACATGCACGAGGACCACCGCAACGACGGCAAGTGGATGCCATTCACCCAGCACAGTGTTGGTGAGAAACAAACAATAATAACAACGTGGTGAGCGCGGAGGGTTCGCCCACGCATCCCGCTCGATACAGTTCCGCGCCCCTGTGGCACCGCCGTCACCACACACACTCGGCAAAAGGACGTGGGCACATGAACCCTGAAAGAAGCACACAAAATAAAAAGTAAATTCGGTGCAGCAACGGCCACATGCAGGGAGCACAAATCATACACACCGCAACAGCGATGCATCATGAAAAGCTCCCATACAACAGAAAAGAGTGCAATTTGCATGCTTTATGGAAAATATTTGTGGTGTGCATGGCAACAGAGAGCCGTGACGCTGCCTTTCATATTGCACTCGCCATTCACGTATCACTTGGAAGCACGCAGCCACCACTCCTCCGTTCCGCTCCCCGTGCTGCTCGTGCCGCTCCACTGGAGGAAGTTGTCACCGCACATCCCCATCACCGTGCATTGCGGAATACAAACCTACCACACCGCATGAGTGCGGTGCCACCCCGCCAATAAATCCCAGGAAATACCCCGCTGCCTCGTGTGGCACGGACGGCAGTCTCATTATGCCTGCGAAAGGCTTTTTTTCCAAACAAGAACGCGACCCCACCACACGCCAGTAAAAACGTTTGGTCCGTCGCACGCAAAGGAGTGGAGCGGGAGAACAGCAGGAAAGACAACACCGGCAGCCATGAGCAGCCCGCACACGCAAACACACCGCTGCCCCGCATATCACCAAAAACAAAAATACCAAAGAAACATGTCACATCCCAACTACAAATCGCAAGTGCGGTTGCAGCTGACACTCCCACCTCCTGGGCGTGTGTAGCCCCTCGCTGCTCGGCGCTCTAAGTGGGATCACCAAAAGCACCAATTCGGGAAAATTCGACCACCGCCACAGCAGTCACGCTCCCCATTTCTCACAAAGGTGAAGGCTTGCAGTGGCGCAGCGGACGGCGGCACGCACAGTCGCAGGGTAATGGACTGCCGCGGGAATCACGCAACGGCGATGCGCCCCTCCATTGGGAAGCCCAACAAAAAACATGTGTCGCGCAGTCCCCGTGAGCAAACACACATTGAACCGTATTCAGCTCCACTACTGTGGCCATCCGCACACACAGCATGAGTGCGACAACGCAGGCAAGGAAACACGGAATAACACCACGCATCCCTCCAATAAAGGCCATGCGGTGTCCATGTTGCCTTCAACAATAATTCCACCCCACATCACCCTTCTGCATATCCGCAGCAAAAAGGCCCACACGGTGTACACTACATTAGGAGTTCCTAAAGAGCAAAACCTGATCATCAGAGCGCTGCCCTCTTCTCAATGTTAAGTAGAAGCTCTCTGATCCTTGTCGCCGCCAGCCCGCGGTATTATGGAGAAGCATTGCGTTCTCGGCATATCTCTCCATTTACTTCACTTTCCCGACGCCGCAAATGAAGTGATGTCCCACAGGTGAATTCGACAGTTCTGAAGAACGCGGCGTGTCAGACTCACTGAAACTGTGTGCGTGTGTGTTATTACGGGCAAGCGATACAATGCTCTTGAACATCCATGTATTCCGATCCTGCGCAACACCCCATTTGGCGGCGCTGAAAACGTTGGACACCAAACACGCGAAAATCGCACAATGAATGACTCTGGAGAAAAAAAAAAAACAAATAACGTCAACACAGACACAGTGACCAAACAAATTAACAAAAGAAAAACAACCTCTGCGCGTCCTCCCGCAAGAAGGTGAAGACACACACGCTTGTCCCCTTTAGTTTCACTCCAACTCCTCAAAAGTTGATAGGTCTATAGCAGGAGGAAACACGTCACTCTTCCCTCTTTCCCTGTCACGAGGCGTGGACGCTGCGAGAGGCTGCCAAGATGAGCCACACGTGTGTGGAGGACCCCAATGCTCGGGGCAGGTCGACAGCCACCCACACTCACCCCCACTCACAAAAGGGCAAGGACATGAAGAAGAGAAGCCCGCCGCACAGTGCATTCAAGAAGGCACACGCAGAAGCACCGCCATCCACATCGTACCGCAAAAGGGCAATGCGAACAGCACACCCACGGCCGCAACAAGAGGAACGAGGCGCATCCAATTCCACCACAGTCCTTTACTTACCCCTGCCCCGAAGGAATAGCGTTACGCCTCACAGCAGGTCGTGGTGAATGGCGCCCCACACTCACAGTGAGGCACGGCGCACACCATCCGCTCCCTTCCGACTGCACTCATCAGGGCGCCCAGTCACCCTCGTACCATCGCAATGGGGAACACAAACAATCATCGTCGCGGACTATCGATGCCTCTAGCAGAAAAGAAAAAGTGATGAGGGTGTGTCAACTGCACAGCTAGCAGTGGGACACCCAATGGGACACAAAGACACATAGTGGCATTCAACACAGCAAATAATAAAACAAGCCGCAGCGAATTGCCAAATACAGGAAAACAAGAAAAAAGGCGTGGGTTCAGCAGAAATAAATAGATAAATAAATAATAATAAATAATAATAAATAATAATAATAAAGAAATCACCTCAGTGGACTTTCATTTCGTGTATCCCTCAGCGCAGCAGGAATTGTGCATCTCCATGTGTTTCTTACAGAAAGAAAAAAAAGATCGCAGTGTTCCACGTGTCCACACAAAATCCCTCACATTTCATGAGGCACTCGGCCTCTTCCTCCACCCCTCGTTTTGTACAGTCCGCGGGACTGCACAGCAATGAGGCCGGCACCGCGTGCGGTGCAAAAAAAGCAAATAAAACAGGGGGAAACACGTCGCTCATGAGAGTGTGCAGCTAGCGACAAACGAAAAATAAATTAAAAAAATAGTAAAAAGGCAGGGGTTCTGATCCCTCCAACAAAGCACCAGGAGCACATTATATCCAGAGATAAAAACAAAAGGGATTTTTTAAAAGTCCTCAACGGAGTGCATTGAGTCTTCCTGAGGAGCTGCACACCCTTTTCCACGGAGAGCCGCGACTCCACTCCCACCGTCTCACACAGCCGAGAGCTGCAATGCCCAGAGCCCCAGAAAGAGAACCAACAAGATCCGAGGCACACACACACACACACACGCACCGTGCCGTAGCCACTAGAGCCCTTCTCCAAAAAAGTGTTGTTCGTGAGCTGAGAGGCGTTTCCATCTTTGGAGCCACTGCCAGTTCCCGCTGGATCATCAGGCCCTTCAAGCATTTCCCCAGAAAGAGACTCTGGAAGAGCAAGGCTGCTGGCAACAACTTTTGCGGCTTCTTCCCTGGTCAATATGCGGTTGCACAAGAAGACACTCGTCACTGTCAATTACTTGTTTTGGCTCCCGGTGTCGCTTGCACTGCTTCCATCCCCTCCAATGTAAAAGTGTGAATTCGCGCGTGGCCCCTTTCCCGATGGTGATGTCGTTTCAGCATCCCACACACACACTCACCATTGATCTATACGAAGGCCTTGTTGCCGGTCCTGCAGCGTGAGCTCCACTCGTTATTGTTTGTTCAACTCCAAAAAGTCGGTGTGTTTGTTTGCGTTGAACATCACCCCCCAACTCCTTTCATGGCTGTGCGACAGCCAAAAGTGCACAGTGCAACCTGCTTCCTTCACGCCAATCAAAGGGATACTCTTGACGCCTGCGTGTGTCTCGCGAATAGCCACCGTCGCCACAAGAGCGAAGTCGTAATTCACAAAGCCACAGTGATTATTATCCTCCCAACGGTTCACGGGGCAATGTTGCCCTGCGAATTGAAGCCCATTTGTGGCATTCTTGCCATTCGTCACCGTTGCAATCACGCAACGGCACTCGTCGATACACGTGTTGGCAGTGCCTGCGTTAGACAGATATCCAACCAGACCCACCGTACTTACGGGCGACGCGGAGAAGGAAGCGTCCACGTCCGCCCAATTGCGGAGGATGGAAGTGATCATCTGCAGCTCCTCCGTCAGGGGGACAGGAAACAGGCTGCTTTTCTCTTCATTGTGCCTCGCTCCCACAAGGTACAACGCACCATCCGAGTACAGCAGAACGTTGGCAATCGGCTTATTCGCAGCAGCGTCCATAGAAGCCGGTCCAACATGAAAACGTGCGGTTGTTTTCCATTACCCAAAGGTAGAGCGCATGGACCTCACTCTCCCACCACGGGGAGCTCACTTTCCGGGCCTACAGCATGACGCTCTTTCCTCCAACGGTCGCAGTGACAATGGCTCCCACACGCAAGCTCATGCCCCAACGATCCGATTGTGAATTGGCCCATACGCCCGCAATTGCCCCGGGTACTTCCACCCACATTGTCCCCTTGTCACGTGACTCGTGCACTCTGCAGTACCGGCTCCCATAACAACGAGTAATCACGAGAAGTTGTCCAAGCTCCCACTCGGCAATGAGAAAGTCAATGCAGTCCGCAGGAAGAATGCCCTTTGAAAGCACTCAGCTGCTGCCGCCGTCCGTCGAACAGATGATCATGGAGAAATCGTCATTTTCTTCATTATACGCAATCACGGGGACACAAGCGTGTCATTCAAAACACCTGAGCCACCAGCAACCATCAATCCATTCGCGCCGCGTTCGTGAGTCTCGGGAATGATCTGTGATCACAGCAATTTGGGTTCACACCAGTGGATCAGCTCGCTCCGTCTGCCGTCATTGGGCTGCGTGAATTCACCCACAACCAGTTGAACATCACGGTCCCTCAACGCCCAATTGAACCCACCATTCGCACCAAACTTTTGCTAGCTTCCCGCAGAAAGAAAC